GTCTGCGTGTGATCACAACTCAGCCACGTTCTACAGTGTTAGAGAAAACAGCAGGTAGAAGACGACTGAAAAATGTGGGTCTAGAGAGAAGCCATAGCCGACACAGTGTGATTTAAAATTCACTTAAAACAAGATAAACTAGATCATAAATTCAGTTGGATGAAGTTGGAAAAATATTCCTTTTGGTTCTAACAATTCACAAAAATATTCATTGTTCATTATGGGCAGTTAAGCAAAAAATACAAGTAACAGAGGAAGGGACTCAACGAATGGGCTTTCTCTGTGTCTGCTGCAGTGCGATCCAGTAACTCTCAGTGATTAGGGATATAGTATGTTTGTAAATACTGCAACTGAGGAGCTTATTTTAAAATTTTAATTAAATTTAAACAGCCACATGTGGCTACAAGCTACTGTATTGTAGAGGGCAGGTCCACAGAAAGCCACAAGGAGAAAACCAGATGGAATCAAATGGAATTTATTTCATTTGCAGATACGGAGTGAAAGTGACCAAGCAGTGGAACAGGACTGCGTCCTCTACTGGGAGGCTCTCTGGAGGTGTCTGCAGAATGAACTTATGAACTTGCATGGGGCCTTTTTTACAATGAAGTTATTGAAGGATAGCCATCGCTGAATACTGGGGTCTCTAATTACTGGAGACCTTTAAAAAGTTGAATGATTGGGCCAGGTGCAGAAGGTAAGGGAGGAAGATTGCTTAAAGCCAGGTGTTTAAGACCGGCCTGGGCAACAGTAAAGACCCTTGTCTCTACAAACAATAAAAAAAATTAATCAGGCATGGTAGCACACACCTATATAGCCCTGGCTACTTGGGAGTCTATGGCAGGAGGATCCCTTGAGCCCAGCAATTTGAGGTTGAAGTGAACTATGATGGCACCACTGGACTCTAGGCCAAGAAACAGAGTGAGACTGTCTCCAGGAAAAAAAAAAATTGACTCATTATTTTAGTTTTAAAATTTGCCTTTCTGGCTCGGCGCCTGTGCCTCAAGTGGCTAAGGTGCCAGCGACATACTCCTAAGGTGGCGGGTTCAAATCCAGCCCGGACCCGCCAAAACAACAATGATGGCTGCAACCAAAAAATAGCCTAGCGTTTTGGCGAGTGCCTGTGGTCCCAGCTACTTGGGAGGCGGAGGCAGGAGACTCACTTGAGCCCAGGAGTTGGAAGTTGCTGTGAGCTGTGATGCCACAGCACTCTACCCAGGGGGACAGCTTGAGGCTCTGTCTCAAAAAAAAAATTGCCTTTCTGAAAGCAGAAATGGAAGCATATTATCATTGATCAGACGGCACTCAGGAGTATAAAGGGGAAAAAATTATTGAGTTCTTGGTAAGTATTTTTGGATGGAAACTCAAATTGACTGAGTGTGGTGGCTCATCCCCGTAATCCCAGTGACTTGGGAGGCTGAGGCAGGAGGACCTCTTGACTTTGGGAGTTTGAGACCAGCCTGGGCAACATAGCAAGACAGTATCTCTAAAAAAAATGAAAAATATTAGCTGGGTATGGTGCAGGGCACTGGTAGTTCTGGCTACTCAGGAGACTTGGGCAGGAGGATGACTAGAGCTCAGGAGAGTGAGAGACCTTGTTTCTAAAAAAGGGACAGAGGCTTAAAAACATTGTCATTGCAAACTTGGAGCTGAAAACAAAGTGATTTATAAAACTCTGGGTTTGTTCCACAAAGCAAGCCATTTTTTAATAATTACAAGCTATGGTGGTGATAATAGGATATTACATTATAAATTTTAATCCTCAGAATGTGTGGTTTAAAAGAACTATCTTCTACTGAAATGTACTAAATGCATCATAGTTTTTTAATAAATGACCCAAATAAATGACTAATACTACCATTTTTTTACACTGCTGTGATAAAATCAGAAATACATATTTGGTCTCTGCCTCCAGTTTTGGACACACAGCTCCTAAAGCTTGGAATGTCTGGAGAGACACATTTGTCTTTTGTGTGCTGATGAAATGACTGACTGGGGGCCTCTACATAGCTTCAGGGTGGGGGCTGCATTACAAAGGTGCGACCTCCAGGGAGGGAATACAAGATGGTCCAGTCAATCACCAGTGCCCAGGATTAATCACTAACGCCTTCCTAATGTCTCCAAGGGCACTCAGAGGGACAGGGCATGGAGGAGCTTCTGGACAGCAGAACATACAGAGGTTCCTGGGGTGCTGCTCCAGAGAGGGGCGGACCCTCCTCAGCCCTTCCCACAGGCTCGCAGATGCTTTTCTTCCATCTGGCTGCCACCTGCATCCTTTGTGACAGCCTTTGTCATAAGGGCATGAAGATAAGGAATGTGTTTGCTTGAGTTCTGGGAGCTGCGCTAGTACCTGCACAGGACCTGAGGAGGAGGAAGTCATGGGAGTGTCTGTTTATAGACAGCTGGTCAGAAGTACAGGTCATAACCTTGTGAAGGGGCACCTGAAGGTGGGGAGCAGTCTTGTGGGACTGAGCCCTGAACCTGTGGGATCTGGCTCCATGTCCAGGTAGATGGTGTCATAAGTGAGTTACAGGACCCCAGTGGGTCTCTGCTGGTTAATTGGTTGTGTGCAGGGTGTGGTTTTTAGAATGAAGTATTAACTACAGGAGGGGGAAGAACATTTTTTTTCCTATTGCCAGTAACTAGAAACACAGTAAATAATAGTAAACCAAAATAAAATCTGATTCACTTCACTTACCTATAAGGCTAAAAATTCTGCGAACGCATATGGTTGAAAACTTCCATTTTTCCCTTAAATTGTCAGCAGCTTGACCAGCTAGGATCATACATACCCAATTACCAAAATAAGGCAATGCAGATAACAACCCGTTCTGGAGGATAAGAAGATGAGAATTAATTATGTGGGAGGAAAAAACAAAACATATACTAAACACAGCCAACCACCCCCACTTGAGAACCAAGGTAATCCATAGCAGTTATGCTGTTAATGTTTATATAATTCATTAAATACATTTTGCTTTCAGAGGAATTATGAGATTCAGTTCAATGCGGTTCCTAAGAGACTATCTCAGAGAAAAACAAGGCTCATGATATTTTTTTCTTTCAATTTATCAATTGAATAACCTAGGTCACATTTTATTTATTTATTTATTTACTTATTTATTTTTGAGACAGAGTTCCACTTTGTTGCCGTTGGTAGAGTGCCATGACATCATAGCTCACAGCAACCTCAAACTCTTTGGCTTGCCAATCCTCATGCTTTGGCCTCTCATGTCACAAAGCCCAGCTATTTTTAGAGACGGGGGTCTTGTTCTTGCTCAGGCTGGTCTCCAACTCCTGAGCTTAAGCAATCCACGTGCCTCAGCTTCCCAGAGTGCTAGGATTACAGGCAAAAGCCACCTTGCCCACCCTAGCTACATTTTATTTTAAATAGATCAGAGCCTTGGCTTGGCACCTGTAGCAGTGGTTACAGCACTGGACATATACACTGAGGCTGGCAGGTTCGAACCCAGCCCAGGCCAGCTAAAAAACAATGGCAACTGCAACAACAACAACAAAATAACTGGGCGTTGTGGGGTGGGGTGTCCTGTAGTCCCAGCTACTTTGGAGGCTGAGGCAAGAGAATCACTTGAGCCCAAGAGTTTGAAGTTGCTGTGAGCTGTGACATGACAGCACTCTACCAAGGGCGACATAGTGAGAGTCTGTCTCAAAAAACCCCAAAAATATCAGTGCCAAGTAGTATCATAACTCAGAGAAACTATCTTAAAGCCAAAAGTTTACTTACTTACATTTACAATTTTCTTTTTTACAGAACCCGAGGGTCTTTCCCGATGATTTCTTCTTTCTCATATTTTACCTGCAGTTACTTAGCTCTGTCTGTTCTTCCTTTAAGAAGAGCCTGCGCTTTCTGCTTCTCCCCCTGTCTGCTCTTCCTGCACCCTGCTTTGAGGTCCTCCAGTCTCCTGCCTGGACAACTGCACCAGACTGTCAGTCCAGCCCAGAACTTCCATTAACAAGAGCTTCAGCCTTTTCATCATCTCAGTTTCCTGCTTCCCAGTCTGAGAACACCTGTCTTTCCAGCTCACTCCCTCTAGCACCTGACCCCAACCCCTTGATCCTACCACCTTTTAAAATTTCTTTCTATCCCTCCATCCCTTTCCCTCCCTCCCTTCCTTCTCCTCTCTCTCTCTTTCTTTCTTCTCTCCCTTGCCTTCCCTTCTTTCATTTTTTTAGAGGCTGGTCTAGTGAATCAGTGAGAATGAGAAGGAACTAAGGAATCTGTAATCTGTCTTCCTCTTTACTTGTAAACACCCCTGCACTCACACCAGCCCCGCTCTATCCACTATGTTCATGGAATATTCTGAATCCTTAATTGCAATTTTAACAGTGTTCACAGCATCTTCACCAGGAGTAGATTCCATCCCAAGAAATCACTTTCTTTGCTTTTCCATAAGAAACAACTCCTCATCTGTTTTAAGTTTGATCATGAGATTATAGCAATTCAGTCCCATCCTCAGGTTTCATTTCTAATTCTAGTTCTCTGGCTTTTTCACCCCAGCTGCAGTAACTTTCACACAAGTTTTGAGCCCCTCAAAATCATCCATGATTGTTGGAATCAACTTCCAACTCCCAACGTTGATGTGCGAGTCTGTCCTGATGTACATCTAAAGCCCATTAGTGCAGTGATAACGGGAACAGACTAAGCCTGACAAGCTCAGAGGCAGGTTCAGGTGAGCCCCATCTTACGCGGCTTTGCGGCTGCACATCCCCCACGCCTGCAGAATGCCACAGCCACCCCGGCAGAGCCCACACCATCCCTTTTAGGAGGGAACACTGGGACCATTGGAATTTGTCATCTGATGTCCCGGCACAGTACTAGGTTCTAGTAAAACCTTTATGATTAGAGGGAAGAGCAGACGAAAGACGCCTTGAATCAAAAGGGAACAGACACTGAGGAAAGAGGAGACCCAAAAGGCCACGTCTCCAAAATTCAGCGCCACAGAGCAAAGTGGAAGATGAGAAAGAAACAAAAACGGCATTTCACGCAAATGAAGACAGAATCTGTGTGCGGTTTTAAAATGATACATACTGTATGTAAGAAGTAAAGGATTGTTTTTCTTACCTCTTGAACATCAAACCTTAGGATGTCCTTCATGTAAGTTGGCAGTAACGTCAATAAAGTATAGTAAGTCCAGTTGTAAGAAAAATGTGCAACTACAATAGCCCAGAGTGGCAGTGACTTGAAAATGGGAACCCACGGCACTGACTTCTGTGAAGAAAGCTGCAGAAAACGGGCGGAGTTAGGATGAGGCACAGCCGTGTCACTCTGCACCGTACCTGCTAAACCCAGTCTGGAACTCACAGGGAATCTCAGTCTTACTCGTCAACTTCAGATTTTTAAATCGGCTCCTTTGAAATTTTAAGTAGCAAAATACAGGATCGATGTTTAACTGTTGGATTTGATCAAACATATATTGACTAGATTGTCCGTAATTCTGATTAGAAGAAAAAATGCAACTGTAATCTTAGAGTTATAATGTCAACTCTGAACACTCCTGTGAATGTCGGAAGTCATCAGCAGCATTATTTTCTCTATTTATAGAACAGAGACTAGTGTCATCATCAAGAGGTTGACATAGGGGAAGGAAAGAGACGGGAAGGCCCAATTGCAATTCATATTTCATTATCCCATTCAGTCTTTTAGTTTTATTGAATATAATTCAATTAAAGTGACTTATAGGAACTGTGCAGTGGATGGTTTTTGTAAGTAGCCATGTGGGGTACTGGTCTTCAAAGTGGGGCGTAAGCAGCCCACTGCTATGCAAGGTAATCCATGAGGCTGGGAAGACAGACTAGAATTTTTGTTTATACTAATTTTTCTTCTATCAAATGGAATTAAACTCTAGTAATATATACTTACACATTTTTGAGGCAGAGTATTACTCTGTCACCCCAGATGGAGTGCTGTGGCATCAGCCTAGCTCACAGCAATGGGCTGAAGTGATCTTTCTGCCCCAGCCTCCCGAGGAGCTGGGACTATCGGTGCCCACCACGATTCTCAGCTCATTTTTCTATTTTTAGCCACACTGTTGCTCAGGCTGGCCTGGAACTTCTGAGCTCAAAGGATCCTTCCTCCTCATACTCCCAGAGTGCTAGGATTACAGGTATGAGCCGCCGCCCCTCTGCCTAAACACTATTAATATTTAATGAATAGGTTATTTTGGGATAATGTCGGATAATTACAAGTTGTATGATTTTCCCAATTTGGAGGGGTTAAAAGTGGCATCCTCACTGTCCTCTCTGCCTTGCAGTTTACACTTGCCTTTTTAAGTGGATTCACGGATTTTATTTGCCAGTGTTAATTAAAACAAACCTAACAAAATTAACAGTGTCTTTAAAAGATTCCTGCAGAACAACAGTCAATAAAAGAGAATGCCTATAATAGAAGCACATGAACCCTGCAGGGCGCACTGCTCCTCCGGAGTCCTCTGTGAGCTGCCTTCGAAGCAAAGTAAGGGCAGATTGTCAGACGCCACACATTCAAACACACTGCTCTGAGTAAACCCCTGCCCTGTTAAGACGCATGTAATATTTACTTCAGTTATTCACCCTTTAAAACTTCTATTGTATATATTTTATGATGTGTGTAAGTACAGTCATACATGGAGATAGCCTGTGAATAAGTACACACATGTTCAGGACGTGGCTCCCCACCCCCCACCTGTTTACTGGCGTGATCCAGAGAGCTGAGACAGCTGGTCTGGGCACCAGCTCTGACATTTCCTGTATACTGAGGCTCTGAGGTTTTTCTCAAACACAAGAGCAATCTATGTTTCTGTCTCAAGGGTTCACTCTTATTTCAAAAAGAGGAAGAACCAGTGTACTAATCTTCTCTGGGTCTTTCTCCTGGAACTTCATATTTGACATCTTGGGAGATACGCTCTTGTGTTTCCCCATAGAATCACGGATGGAGGGGACAGGGGAAGGAGAGGAGCGAGGACGTCACTCCTTCTCAGCAGTGGCTTCCTGTGACACCTCAAAGTCACCTTTGGTACTTTAAAATTATAGAAGCCTGTGTTCTACTTGAGACTTACTGAATAAACAGAATAAAACCAAGAAAAATAAAAAAAAAAAACCTGAGTGCAGGGCCAAAAAATCTAAAATTTACAAGGCTTCACAGGCGATTCTATAGAGCAATGGCTCCCAAACTTTGCTACATATAAGATTCATCCAGAGACCTTTAAAATCAAGGTCACATCTCAGACCAAAGAAATATGTTGAGCATGGGTCAGAGGTAGGCATTCCTATTTTTTTTTTTTAATGGAGGTAATATCTTCAAACATTCCTATTTTTTAGAAATCCCACAGTGATTTCAATTTATAGCAAGTTTGGGACCCACTGCTATAATAGAGATTAGATTAAAAGTCTGGAGCCTAGGATGAGGAAAATGTGGTACATGTACACAGTGGATACTGTTTAGCTGTGAAAAAAAAAGAATGAAATAAAGTCTTTTGCAGCAACATGGACCTGGAGGCCTTTTTTTTTTTGAGACAGACTCTCACTCTGTGGCCTAGGCTAGAGTGCTGTGACATCATAGCTCACAGCAATCTCAAATTCCTGGGCTCAAGCGATCCTCCTGCCTCAGTCTCCTGAGTAGCTGGGACTACAGATACCCATCACAATGCCTGGCTAATTTTTCTATTTTTAGTAGAGATGCTAGGATTACAGGTGTGAGCCACCATGCCTGGGCTCTTGCTATTGTTTCTAAAATATTACTATCATAGATAACTTGTTAATCAAGCAGTATAAACACACACTCTCTATGGCTTCAATATACTTAGCTGCTGGAAAAAAGAAAAAGAACGAAAAAAGAAAGGGCAGCACCTGTGGCTCAAAGGGGTAGGGTGCCAGCCCCATATGCTGGAGGTGGCGGGTTCAAACCCAGCCCTGGCCAAACATTGCATTAAAAAAATAATAATTGAAAGAAAAAAAGAAAAATCTATTCTTTCTACATGCCACAGGTGATAAATAAAAGTACACATGGGCAAGAAATTTTAATATTTTAATAATAAAAATTTAATATTTCAGGTCATTTGCCCAGCTAATATTTTGAAATCAAATTATCTTCAGATATTTGAATGATAATAGAATTTGTGAAGAAAAAAAAAATCAATGAGATCTGAAATCTTTTTTTTGAGACACAGTCTTACTTTGTCACCCTAGGCAGAGTGCCCTGGCGTCATAGCAACCTCTAACTCTTGGGCTCAAGCAATTCTCTCGCCTCAGCCTCCCAAGTAGCTGGGACTACAGGTGCCCACCACAAGGCCTGGCTATTTTTAGAGATAGGGTCTTGCTCTAGCTCAGGCTGGTATCGAACTTGTGAGCTTTCAGGTGATTCACCCACCTCAGTCTCCCAAAGTGCAGGGATTACAGGCATGAGCCACTGTGCCTGGCCAAGATCTGAAATCTTATAACAACAGTTCAACCAGGCTTTTTTCCATACAAGTTAAGATAGAAAAGGACAAATTAAAAGAACTGTTTTTTGTCATATCAAAACGATTCTCTGCACTCCCGTGTTTACTGCAGTCCTATTCCCAACAGCCAAGATATGGAATTGATCGAACTGTCCATCAGTGGATGAATGCGTAAAGAAACTGTGGTACGTACATAATGGAATATTATGCAGCCACAAAAAGGAATGAGCTCCTGCCCTTTGCAACAACATGGATGGAAGTGGAGAACACTGTATTAAGGGAAATAAGCCAAGAACAGAAAGATAAACCTCAAATTTTCTTACTCACATATGGCAGATAAATGTTAAAAACAGTTGTTCTCCTGGAGACAGAGAATGATGAACCAACCATAGAATGATGGTTATCAGAGGCTGGAAAGGGGTGTGGGGGATAAAGTGAGGATGGTTAATAGATGTAAAAAACAGAGTTAGATAGAACAATATTTGATAGCACAACAAAGGGAATGTAATCAACATAAGTTAGGGTACACATTAAAATATCTAAAAAAGTGGAACTGGGATTTTCCTAACACAAAAAAATGTCAAATCCCTGAGGTGATGGATACCTCAATTACTTTGACTTGATTAATTCATGTTCTATGCCTGTACAGTATCAGAACATCACATGTATCCTATAAACATGTACGACTTTTATGTTCCCATAAGAATTAAGAATTAAAAATTTATTTGTTGTCAAACGTGAAATTTAGAATACAGGGAGGGTGAGGGCATTCAACAAATAGTTGAGTAGCTTCTAATATGCCACTGTTCGCTTATCAAATGCAAATAACAGCACATTGATTTAGGAAAGTTGTATGCAATAAATGTTAATTTATGGTAAATAAATATTCAAATGAAGTTCCCCATTTTATTTGCTCCATAGGGTTGCAGAACTATATACTCTTCCTAAAAGGTATAAAAGAAAAGCAAAACAGTTATGAAACATATTATCCTCAAAAATTAAGAAAAGAACAAAAATAATACCAGGAAGATAGGAAAGAAAAACTTCAATGGGTGAAGCAATAATGTCTTTTCACAGGTCACGAAAAAGAGCTCTTCCAAACAGCAGTGGTTGGTCAGGCGGAGCAAGATGGCGGACGGGAAGGACGTTTGGCTCAGCTCTCCTGGAACAGGTGAGAGTGAGTGGGCTAGATCATTCCTGGCGTGGAATATTTGTGTGGAGAGGCAGATCGGGGTGTGCAGGGAGATGGCAGATGCTGGACTTGGAGTGCAATCCGGAGCTGCAGAGAGTACCAGGAAAGGTTCTGCCCCAAGCTGCAGAGGCTGCGGGGGGCAGCAACCAGCCCCACCAGGCAGGATTGCAGTTCTCAGTTTGTGGGGAAACGAGGTGCTGTGTGGAAAGATTGGTCAACTGTGGACTCCTGAGTGGAATTAGGCGGTGAGAGTGGGGTGCCATGTGCTGTGGCACCACTGTGGTTAGGCTGCGGGAGAGAAACCCAGCCGGGAAAGATCCTGGAGAGGAAGAGGCATTGTTTTGGAATTTGGGAGATGGTGGTCGCCACAGGACCTTTCCCGTGGGCCAGGTGTAGCGATTTGAGTCTCACCTGCAGATAGTCATCCTACACTCGGAACTGGCCCACAATATCCTGCACTTCACGGGAACTGGTGCAGAGAGAATTTGAGAAACCTGCCTGTGAAGATTTTTTGATATCGGTGGAATCAGCAGTTCGGCAGGGTCTGGGTGCCAAGTGGGTAATTAGGCAACACTAAGAACAATTTAAGCTGGGAGGCAGGTATAAGCCTGGGAA